GTGCCACTGTCAGCCGCCCAGCACAGCCATGGCTTTTCCTGGCGCTTGGGTGGAGGCAGGGCAGTCAGCCGGGGAGGATCTGGGAGTCTTAGTAGATCACAGATTCAGTATGGCTGAGTACAGAGGTTCAAAAGATCCAAGGCAAAATCAATTAATCTTCACAGTTTTTTCTAAGCTGTGTAGATTGAACCGGTAACAGACTGAACTGATGTTCAGTATTTGGGTGGCCAAGATGGGTAGAAGCCTGCACTGGCCTAAGCCAGGAGCTTGGGGCCGCTCAAGTATACAACCTCTCATTGCTAGGCTGCCTAAGGGTGCTGTGCCCAACTCAGCGGCAGCACGGGCCAGATTGGCAGCCAGGGTCTGCAGAGTGCGAGGGAAAGCACCTACTGAGGCTAGAGGCAGGGGGTGGGAATGCATCCCCCAGGCTGACACTGGGCCTCCCAGCTGGGGTCTGTCTGGTGCTGGGTGAAAGCACACACTTGAGGCCTTTTAGTCTCCCTGCAGCTTGGAGACAGCCTGGGATTGCCCCTGCCCTAGTTCCACCCTCTCCTCAGCAGTCTGACTGGGGAGGGAGCAGGGCTGGGGTGATCTCGGCCTGCCTCTGAGCTTCAGGGAGAGAAAAAACTCCCAGTGGGTGCTTTCCGCATGCACCAGGCAGACCCAGGCTGTGGGGGCTAGTGCCAGACCAGGGGTGCATTCTCACACCCTCTGGGGAGGGTGCAAGACAGCCAGTTGGTGTTGGACCAGGGGTGCAGAGGACGGGCTCTGGCTGGGGCCATCCCAGCCCAGCTCAGGCTGGGGGGTGGGCGAATGAAAAGCCCCTGGTGGGTGCTTTTCCCTCTGTACTGCCAGACGTAAACTGGGGGGTTTGCTTCAGCTGGGGGGGGTTTCCCCTCTGCCTGTCTTAGAAGCAGAGGGCAGGGGAAGGGGCAGAGCTGGGGTGATCTCAGCCTGGTTCAGTTGAGGGAGGCAGAAAGCCCCCTGGTTGGGTGCTTTTCCCCACATGCTGGTCAGGCCTTGGCTGGGTGGTGTGTTCCCATCCGGCCTCCCCACCTTCCCCCACCCCAGGCTTTTCTTCCCCTTACTGTACAGCCTGGGGCTAGGGGGGCCTGGGCATCTGTTCCTTTGCCCCCATCCTGTTGTGCTGACAGGCCCAGGCAGGAAGCAGGCTGGGGAGCTGAGGCTTTAGTACCTGACAGCTGAGGATAAGGCCAGCCTTGCTTTATCAGACCAGACAGCACAGCCCAGGGCTGCAAAGCATCCTGGGGGACTATGAGTTAACTTGAATAAGGAAAGGATCTGGGACAGAATTTCCATAAACTGGTTTAACCTAAATCATTTATGTCTGATACTATCTCCAACCAGGTTTATCTTAAACCAGTTTTGGCCATTTTGAAAGTGGTTTATGTACTCTGAACTTCTGTTCTGTTACAGGTTTAAACCAGTTTCCAATCACTTAAACTGGTTTATGTCAAATTTCTGTCCCTAGCCCATGAGTCTGCAGTGTGATACAAATGCACAGAAGGCAAATGTGGTTTTGGGATGATGCATTAATAGAAGTATTGGTGGGTGAAAGATGTGGTAAATCATAGTGCCTCACTTGGCTTTGGTTAGGCCTCACATGGAGCATTATGTGCAGTTCTGGGCTCCACATTTTAAAAGGATGTGTAGAAGTTAGAGAGGGTCCAAAGGCGGACAACAAAGATGATAAAGGGCATGGAAAGCAAGTCATAAGAGGAGAGACTGAAGGAGTTTTTTTCCCCCAGCAATCCTACCAAAATTGCAGAGCCTGTGCTTTTTTTTGTGGAACTCACCCAAATTGGCAGTTTCCACAAAAATTGTGCAATCATGATTTCTGCAGGTCTCTAACCATTGGTCTGACCCAGTATGGTACTGCTGATGTTTTTAGGTTTATGCTTCAAATTATACTGCTGCCAACTCTTCTAGTTTTGGATGTAAAATGTGGGATGGATCCTTTGCAATTGCATTTACTTCTTTGAGTTTGAGGATTAAATGACATTACGAATAACACCTGTTGCATATCACTTTTTCTTTCTCAGTTTACACTATATTGAAAATTTTTGCTTGCTCCAGAAGCTTTCTTCACTGACTGCCCATTCTGCGGACAGAGGCACAGACACTAGTATGCTGTTTTCAGGATTTAATCCCTGAGCTAGGCACGTTTAGCTAGCAAAAAAGGTGCATAAGAGGGGACAGGATGGCAGTCTTCAAATACTTGGGCTGCCATAAAGAAGAGAGAGAGAACCTTTTCTCTCTTGTTCCAGAGAGGAGAAAATAGACCAATGGCTTAAAATTGCAGCAAGTTAAGATTGGATATCTGGAAAATCTTCACTGTGAGAATAGTGAGGCAGTGGAATTAGAGGCTCTAGGGAAGCTGTGGACTCTCCATTACTGGAGGTGTTCAAGAAGAAGTTGGACAGCCACTGGTTGGGGATGATCTAGGCATAGCTATGTCCGTTTTCTATCATTGGTATTTCCATGCTTCTGGGCTTTGCTGATTCTTCCCCCCCCCCCCTTTTCTGCAATATGTGTCAAGGTATAAACCTCCCCAGAGGCATTGTATGTTGTGTGCGCCAATTTTTTTGCTAGGAGCCAAGCCAGAGGTTCCTGGCTAAAGGGTCTTGCCTCTCTGCTCAGGGTTAGACCAGTTACCACATTTGGGGTCAGCAAGGAATTTTACCCCTGGTCACATTAGTATGTATGGGCTGTGGGGTTTTTTGTCTTCCTCTGTAGCTGGGGGCATGGTCCTCTACCTGAGACCTCTTGAGCATATGCTGACAACATTTTATAAAAGCAGGATGTTGGCTACTGTGGTTCTCCTGCTTTACCTGTGGTATGTGAGGGTGTTAGGTCTATGTTGCATCAGGTTTGAGGGTAGTCTTCCATAGAGTTTAGATTATGTTTTGTATGAGATGGTTTAGATAGGGATGATCCTGTCTCAGGCAGGGGGTTGGACTAGATGACCTCTGGAGGTCTCTCCCAGCCCTACTTCTCTATGATTGTCTTCATTCTTTTCTGAAATGAATACAAATTAAATGTCAGAAATTAATTGTTGCTTTCTCTTATTTAATTAATGTAGATTAATGAGTGTTTTATTATGGAGCATCCTAGGATTTATTTATCTCATGTAATAAGGGCTACAAAAATGTTATGTATATACAGTGTTGTGAACTCTAGAACTGTTTTAGAATAGAAAGAAACATTTCCCTCCCTTTGGTCACGTGAAAAGCAGTGTTGTGTTGGCAGGAACATAACAGGTGTTAGTTTTTGCTGCAAGGTTATTTATATAAAAGATTTTAAAGGAGCTTACATAAATTGGCAGTTTGTGAAATGTAAGAGGCTGATGGTGAGAACTGAAAATAAACAGGAATCCAAAGCTCTGTAAGAGCTTGCTTGCTGCATTAAACGTTCCAGGAACTGGCATGCTAGTTGTGTATAAAAATGAGGTCAGTAGTTGTGTTTTAAGTTATGCCTGTTCAGGTGAGAGTTATCTTTGATCCATTTTACCAGGTCATTTAGTGTTGTTAGCCTGCTCCAGGGAGACAAAACACTCTATTTTCATTCCTTTGTCATCTTAGGATGCACCATTCCCAGACCTTCCCACTTGTTTGCTCAATGGGAAAATGTTCAACCCTCCTGAACTCTACCGCCCAGGGGGTTAGTGCTGGGCCCAAGGAAACACCCTGTTCTGTACCCAGGGGTGCAACCTCAGTGCACCCTAACTGCTCTGAACAGCCAGGTGCAGCTCACCAGTTTGATGCTTGCTCTAGTACCCCCATGCAAACAACAGCAATCCTACTGCCTACCTCTGTGAAGAGAATGGAAACCATTCTCAGCTGGGTCTCGGCTCTGCCCTATTGTGAGTGCTAACCCAACTCCTACCGTGGGGTGGAATGCAGTGAGCCTGCTGGGTCTCAGCTCTGTCCTGGTGTGATTACTAACCCAACCCTGCAACCCAGTCTCACTTCAGTGAAATGTGCAAGATTTTGGTTCTCTCTGTCTCTCTTTCTTTCACTCTATCTCTTGTTCTTTGGTGGCTGTGGAGTGAGGGAAACCATAGCCCTCATGGTGGTCTCTCTGCCTCCAAGCTACATGTTGCCCTCCCCACTCCTCTCCCACCCCAGAGGAAAAATAAAATTCTGGCTGCTGTCCCTGCCCTTGCTCACCATGTCCTGGGGTGGCAAGTCGCAGTAGTATAGGTCCGAGGTGTCATTAAGCTTTAGCCTGTGACTGCTCTAAAACTGTTCCAGCTTTGACAGCATAATATTCTACAGATTTAAAATGTTGTAAAGATAACCTGTAAAAGCATCCTTATTTTTTTCTGCGAGCTATAATGGCTGGTGAAGCCAAGTGTTTTGTCTTTAGAGTTCATGTTCAGTGCCATACAGGGGTGTCCCATTAGAGGATTTTTATCATGACTGCCTATTTTGAATGGTTCAAGGGGATGTGTGTTGCATGCTGCCCTTACAGATACAGCAGACTGCATCCAGAAGCACATAACTCTAGTGGTCCAGAATCTGCCCTGGCTCCCAATAGGTTTCTGAGTGCAATTCAAGGTGCTGGCTGTGACATATAAGGTTCTAGACAGTCTGGGTTCTGCATACCTAAGAGGCAGCCTTCTCTCATACGTTCCATCATGATCCTTAAGGACAGCCAAGAGCAATCGCCTGCCAAATATCTTCAGTGCACCAAGTACGCTTGGCAGAAACACATGGGAGGACATTCTCAGTTGTACTTCAGCTTTAGAACTCCCTCCCTCTTGAGGCCTGCCAGAACCCAAGCTTGGGCATCATTTGGAAACGATGTAAGATCTTCCTACTTGGACGGGCATTTAGGAAATAAAGCTAGGGTGGGAAATCAAGTGATTTTTCTGGTTTATGGTTTCTCCTATTTTATAGGGTGTTCTGTTCTATGGTAAGCCTCCCTAAGTCTGTTTTGGGAAGGTTGGCTTATAAATCAAGTAAATGAATAAATACCAGAGTTGTTGATGTATCAGAGTAGCAGCAGGCCCTTAGTCCCCTCTGGTCCATTCTTTTCCTTGTCACGGACTGCTGGAGCAGCTGGGTAGGGAATGGAGCTGTGAGTAATACAGGGCACATCTCCAAGGTATATCTGCAAGATCAGTTTGGAGATGTAAAAGGCAAGTTTCACCTAAGCAGCTGCCACAGTCTTAACAATAGGGTGGATGCAAACGTTAACAAGCAGATTCAGACTTAGCATTGTTAAGAAGGTTACAACATTTTTTGCTCCTTCCTTTCCATTTCACACTGCACAGCTATGCACTGGGACAACCAAAGGATAGTTAAAGGAGATCCTTGAGAGGGGTATTGACTGTGCCAGACTTAACTGATTTGTTTTACATATATAGTACACTGGTGCAGGAGACCAGGAGATATTGGTTTCTTCAGCCTTATGCCTACAAAAGCATATCTTGGCTGCAAATTCCTTTTTAATCTTATTAAATTAACTGTTTTAAGGGTCCCTCCACAAGGAAATAGGCTGCAGACTTTTTATTTTTGAATGAAAGATGAGGTTTTCATTTAGAGAGCCAAAAGGCTGGGTCTTTTAATGAGTTTCTGCAGAACCTTCTTCCAGCTCTTCAGCATATGGTACTGAAAGCATTCGTTGAAAGAGTCCATCTGTTGACTGCTGTCCAACGAGTTTGCTACTAGGTTGTAATCTAGATATTGGAACTTGATTAAAGAAAGCTCTTCCACTTGCACAAACCTTTACAGCCATTCCAGGACAGGCAGACCTGATGCTAAGTAACATTTTAACTGATTCAGCAATTTGAGCCTTGAACACTATTGTTCCAGCAACAGCAAATATATTTCTCAACATGGCACTGCAGATTAGCACTTCAGATGAGTATCTCATTCTCAAGATGTAGCTGGGATTGTTTTACAAATCATCTTCCTGGTACTGATGCCAACTGCCTTGGCAGCAGAAGTCCAGTCACAGTGGTTCCATTCACAACATTGCCAACTCAGTTGCATGTAAAGATGCAAGAGTTATTCCCAGCCACTCATGCACTGCATCAAACTAATGTAGGATTGAATGTCTCTCTAACAAAGAAACGCAGAGAGAGTCTGAAACAAAGAAAGAAAAAATAAAGTCTTAGAAAATAAAGTCTTTCTGAGCATCTCTGCTATTGGAGAGGAAAGATCTTGCCTGTTTCTTCCTTCCCTATGAATTGCAACAGCAGCTTAGATGTCAGAGTGTTTATCTCCCAGTGGAATCAATAGGAAGAAATCTTATTGGATTCACTGAGACTTAGAACAAACTTTGACTGTATACTGCATCCATTTTTCTTTTTGTGACTTCAAATCTAGCAGTGAGAAGCAGTTCTCTCATCTTGTATCAGCCTGTAGAGCATACTTTCATATCGTGATTTACAGTTGGTGATTGAGAAATGTTTAAATGTGTGACAGTTAATAACAACTACACCAATAATCAAACATATTTTCTGAGATGGGCTCCTACTGCTCTCAGAATAGAAGCAGCAGAAGCAGCTCATATGGTATTAGAAGCACCTGGGAGTAGCTGTAGCTGGGGTCATTGGTGGATCCAGGATTTTGTAAAGGGAGTGTGAGAGCAGAGATGGGTGCCGCATCCCAAGTCTTAACTCCCCACCCCCCCTCCAACTGGCCGACCACACTATAGGAGTAGCAGTCAGGTACTTCATTTTTTGTAAGTCTCTCAAGCAGATAAGAATCCCCCTTCCCCCCCCACCAACTGCCTGCTGTTGCTGCTGTCCCTGGATGATATGGGGGGCAGGGGGAGCTCCAGAGTCACTCCTGCTCTGCTTCAGCAGCAGGGAGCCAGAGACAGTGGCAGGGGCATCAGGCTGGTTCCCCCTTCCTGAGTTTGCACCCAGGCTGGTGGAAAATGCCCAAGGGGACTGGACAGAGAGAAGGAACCTGCCTGCTGCTGTTGCTCTCTCAGACTGAGCCTGGTTCCTTGTGCAGTCCAGCTGGAGCAGGACAGGAGGAACTCTGGAGCTCTTCCCACCCCCAGGGGAGCTGGGAACAACAGCAGTGGCAGGCAGAGGAGGGAGAGAATAGGAGGGCAAAGAAGGGGGATGTGCCCTTGATTGTGGAATGGAAGGGGGAGGAATCCTTACCTAATTTGGGGACTGAAAGTCCCCAGCTGCTGCTCCCATGCCATGGTCTTAAAGGGAGGTGCAACCAAGCCACTGCAGCCCCTCTGGCTCTGCCCTGGGCTGGGGTGAAAAAGAGGTATGCTTTCCCAACATATAGTCCCAGTGTTCCATGGCTACGTCTCGCCCACAAGGACAGGAGAGAGACGTGGTCTGAGATCCAGGCCCTACTGTCACTGGGAATTAATGCACATCCCAATGATCCAAATTGAGAATATAACCTGGGACTGGCACTGCTCCATTTCAGGGAAGGATAATTGATGGACAGGGCCACATTTCCTAAAACCAACGTCCAAACCCAGCTGGTTGTCCTGCCCCACCCGTAGGTAACATAAGCTGTGTTTAAAAGAATGTTTCTAAGGTTGCAAAAGCCAGCACTTGAAGATTAGAAAAGACCAGATTTACAGTTGCCATTTCAATATGAATTCTTGTGTGCAAGGTGATTACAGTCCTTAATTACATGATCACTCAAGCTGTTTTTGCATAGGATCCTTGCCCAGTGCACAGGATAAATGCTCAAGGTGACAAAATCACCTTGCTGAGTTGTTGGTAAGCAGAAAGCTGGTAGTTTGACTGTGTGATTTTGAAAACTGCATACTTTACTTTGCTAAGCTTTTAATCAGATTTCTTTGTGCTAAATAAAAAAAAAATCTATTTTCTTTAGGGGTTCACCCACCCATGTAAAATCATTGCTCCGTGTCTGTGACATTAAGTTTATAACAGGAACTAAACCTACTGTCACAAAAAAAATTATGATGCTAAGTGTCTAACACACACCATCAGCTGATCTCCTAAGATCCAGGGATCTTCTTTTTTTATGGGAACATTAACAGGAACAGAAAAAAAAGAAGTAAAGGAATAGATATTTTAATGTGCAAACAATTCTTTCTAAAGGAAATAGATTACATTTTGGCCCTGTGAAGTCACTGGCAATTTTACTGTTGAGGCCAGGATTTAACCAGTGGTTTGTTTTGTTTTTATTTTTATTTTTTTTAAAGAGTTTTGTAAGATGTTATTAATGGGAATGTAAACCTTGATCATGACAGTAGTTTGACTGCCTTTAAGAAACTTTGGGCAAAATTCAGCCCGTTTTAAAAAGGTGGGAATGAAATTTCCCAAATTTTATATAAAAAGGATAATTTTAGGGTTTTATATTTTTCATTAATTTCATGTGCATGATGATTTATTTGACTCTTTATTTAACTAGTTTGGTCCTATGTATCATTGCACAAGAGAGGTCTCACTTTCTGATGGAGCACTACTGTTAAATACACTTGCCCATTGTGTACATTCTCTGAATTTCTGAAAGCGTACTGGTAGGCAAATGCTAATTCACTCATCAGATTTTTAAATTACAAACTAAAGTTCTTCAGTACTATTTCTTTGAGCTGCTGTTTGTTAAAGCTTCAGTGGATATTTGCTAACATCTCACTGAGTGATACCCAAATCCTTGGCTTCTGGCCCACTGACCTCACTGTTTGCTTCCTTGTGAAAAGCATTGCACATGCTAACTCACCCAAACCTGTCAGCAAATCTGCATAGAAGGTGTCAGTTACCAATCTTTTACAAGAGGTGTTCTTTCAGTGTTTGGAGAAATAAAACATAGAATATCTACTGAAAGAAAATACAAGTAATTGTCCTTAACAAGAGAGAAATTGTCCTTCTTTTGTAAATTAAGGATAAATTCTGTTTTTTATTTTTTCTCATATCAGAAGTATTCAAATATGACATCTCCCCTCTTTAAAGACGTATGCTTTTTTATTTTAGTGTGCCTTTAAGAGTTTGGATAAATTCCATTTAATGACCATTAGTAGTCCTTTTGTGTTACCAGCATTAAATTTGTACCAAGGTTCAGAATGTACAAAATGGGCTGCTGCCTTCAATATGGCATTATAGCTGTATGACTACATAAAATAATAACTAAAAACAAATTTGAAGAAAGCAATTCAAAAGATGATAAAGTTAATAAAAGAAACTTTTTCTAAATGCATCAGAAGCCAGATGCCAGCTAGAGAATTGGTGGGACAGTTAGATAACCAAATTGATAGGACCATAGCAGAGAAGCTAAATTAATTCTTTGTATTAGTCTTTACTGTAAAGGATATTGGATCAGCTCTTCCTAGCAGATGGGTCTGAAGAGTTAAATCACATTAAAGTGGGAATAGAGGAGGTATTAGAACAAATTAATAAATGAAGCACTAATAAGTCACCAAGACCAGATGGCATTCACCCAAGAATTTTGAAAGAATTCAAGTGTGAAATAGCAGAACTGTTAGCAGTTGTATGTAACCTATCATTACAAACAGCCTCTGTGCCAGAGGACTGGCAGTTGCCAACACCCATTTTCAAACTCCAGAGGTGATCTTGGGAACTACAAATTAATAAGTCTTATTTCTATCCGTGGAAAGTTGGTGGAATCTATAGAAAAGAATAGAATCAGCCTTTACATGGATAAATAAGATATGCTTAGGAAGAATCAGCATGGTTTTTGTAGAGGAAATTCTTTCACGCCAGTCTCCTGAAGCCCTTTGAAGGCATTAACAAGTATATGGACAATGGGGATTAGCCGCTACATATTTGAATTTCCAGGAAGCTTTTGACAAGGCCTCTCACCAAAGGTTCTTAAAAAAACTGAGTTGCCACTGGTTTGGAAGGCTCTTTTGTGGATCAAAGTGGTTAAAAGATAAGAAACAAAGGGTAAAGCTAAGTGGTTACTTTTCACAGTGGGGGAAGGCCAGTTGTGGGATATCCAAGGATCTGTGATGGGCCTGGTTTTGTTCAACATTTTTATTAAGGACCTGGAAAAGGGAGTTGAGGGTGAACTTTCAGATTTCCAGGTGACACTAAATTATACTAGGTAGTCAAATCCCAAGCTGATAGTAAAGAGCTGAGGAAAGAGAAAGATCTCACAAAGCTGAGTAGGCAAAAAAGTGGCAGATCAACTTCAATATTTATAAGTGTAAAATAATGCCTGTGTGGAAAAATAACCTCAGTTATACCTACATAATACAGGGCTCTGAACTATCCATTACAACTCAGGAAAGAGCCCTTTGAGCCATTTTAAATAGTTCTCTAAAAATGTCAGTTCAATTTTCAGTGGTAACCAAAAAAAAAAGGGCAATGAACTGCTGGGCATTATTAGGAAGAGAATTGTAAACAAAATAAACATCATCCTGCCACTGAATATAAATTCATGGTGCACCTGCATCTTCAATACTGTGTACCGTTCTTATCTCTGTGTATCAAACAGGATATAATGGAACTAGAAAATGTTCAGGGAAGGACAAGAAAACTGGTCAGGGGTAGCACAAGGGTAGGCAACCCCCGGAACCTGTGCCAGAATGTGGCATACAAATGCATTTTGCTTGGCACTTGTGCCTCAGGGAAGGGGCTGGGGCTGTGCTGTCCCAACAAGGATCAGGCCCTTTGTGGCTCCCTCAGCATCTGCCTGGTCCTTCTGCAATAAAGGGGGATACAGGTCCCGCCTACTGCTCACCTTGGGTTTGAGGATGAAATGACTTCTCTGTGGACATTACAAACACCTGTTGCATATCACTTTTTTTTTCTTTCTCAGTTTACTCCATATTGAAAATTTTTGCTTGCTCCAACAGCCTTCTTCACTGACTGTCCATTCTATGGACAGAGGCACAGACACTAGTATTCTGTTTTCAGGATTTGATCCCTGAAAATTATTCCTCCCACAGAAATGCCTACATAGTAAATAATTAACATAGAATACCAGCACTATAATACAAAACCATAGATTAATAGATGTTAGGGTCGGAAGGGACCTCAATAGATCATCAAGTCTGACCCTCTGCATAGGCAGGAAAGAGTTCTGGGTCTAGATAACCCCAGCTAGATGCATATCTAACCAACTCTTGAAGACCCCCAGGGTAGGGGAGAGAACCACCTCCCTTGGGAGCCTGTTCCAGACCTTGGCCACTCGAACTGTGAAGTTCTTCCTAATGTCTAGTCTAAATCTGCTCTCTGCTAGTTTGTGGCCATTATTTCTTGTAACCCCCAGAGGCGCCTTGGTGAATAAAACCTCACCAATTCCCTTCTGTGCCCCCGTGATGAACTTATAG